TTTGACCTAAGAAAATTATAACTAGGCTCTGAGTGTTTTGAGAAGGTCCGGCCAGAGTGTTGTGAAAAATGTGTACCATTCGAAATTGTCTCGTGCAGTTGGTACCAAAAAACAGGTCTAATATTAGCGCTTAAAAAAAAATATTCATGACGTCATAAAAACCAGATTGAGGTGACGTTGTGGGGGTCCCATCTTCATCCTGGAAACTTCAAAGATTACTGTAGGAAAATTTGTTGCTTGTTATGGGAAGTTTAAACATTAACAACAAAGACATACACTGACATATAAAGAAAGGCACAGATATGAGGAAAGGCAAAGAAAGTTTATCAAGTATATAATTATTCTGTCCCATTTTATGGCTCCTGACCTGAGACAGAAACTCTGAAATACCTCTTATCAACAGGCTTGGGATTGAAGAGGGACTGAGCCATAGTCCAACTCCAAAACCAGCTCTACATATTTATAAAGAAAAGTTTAATAAGACATATATATATATATATATATATATATATATATATTTGATATTTACAGAATATGTCCATCCATCAGTAATTAAATATTCAGGGTCCCATAAATTCTTTGAAGATGAGTATTTTCCTGTGGAGATAAGAAAAGAACCCTGCCCCCAACCTAACTGTACTTCTTACCATCAATATGTTTGCCATCCTTATGAATGAATTATTCATCTTTTCCACATAGCTTCTCTTCTTCAAACCGAAACTTTATTAATTTTGATGGTATCCACAATTTTTCCTCACCTTTGAAGACAAGAGCAAAACCCCTTCCCCAACGCAGCACATCTCCTGGCTTCCATTGTGAGGTCAGCACATCCTTGAAATAAACCGGTTGATTTAGTTCAGTAGACTTTTCCATTATCCAATGTCTTTCTGCAGCCTTTGTTCCCTTCTCATTAGCATTGAGAAAATTCAAGGTTAACAAAGCATTATGTACCCCTATTTCTGGGGGTGTTTTCCACCCCTTTCTGTTTGTTCAACATATCCTTTATAGTTCGATTTGATCTTTCTATGACTGCTTGACCTGTAGGATTGTATGGTATACCTGTAACATGCTTGATATTGTAATAGTCAAAAAACCGTTTCATTTTCCTAGAGACATAAGCAGGACCATTATCCGTCTTTATTTGTGTAGGTATACCCTACACAAATTGCTTCTACCCATGCTTCAGTGCCATAGTCAAATGTATCAACATTCAGTGTATGCAAGACCCATTCTTCCAAGGGCGCTGATCTGAGCTTTAAAGGCCCCAAAATCTTTCTGCATTCCACATTTGCATTTTCATAAGCCAAAGACTCAATCATTATACGTCTTGCTTCTGGGTCAGATATCCCTATTTGTACAGCCTTAGTTAGTCTTTGTAAAAAGTCACTAAAGGGTTCTCTCTGACAAATGATTCCATTCTCTGTCCTGGATCTTGTACCCTGTCCCAAGCCCTTAAGGCTGCTGTAGTACACATGGAGAGTGTGTTTTCATCCAAATTAGCTTGTTCCTGAGGGCCGGAAAAGAGCCCTTCACCTAGAATTTTATCTAGGGAAATGTCAGTTCCCTTCCCTTTTTCCTGTTGTTCTTAAAGTCTAGCCTCTTGCCTGAATAAGCATTTCCATTTCAATTGCGGTCCACTCTCAAGTACCGCAGAGCTCAGCTGAAGCCAGTCCAAAAGGGTTGCTCTGCTTGTTGTGGCCCAAGATTTTAGCATCTCTTTAACAAAAGAGGTGTGCATCCCAGAAGTCATGACAGCCTATTTAATTTCTTTGAGATCATTCATACAGACAGGCTCTCATGTATCTTCCTTGATGACCCTAGGGTTTCTGGAACCAACCACCTTCTCTGTTGTTACTACTGGAAAGGCAGGTAGAGCTGTAGGTAGAGCTTTGTGGAAAATGTCCCGGAGGGATTTACCCATAGATGTAGTTAAAATTTGCCTTTCTACCCATTGCTCTTCTTCATCCGAATTTAGAAATTCCTCAGTCTTTTCAATTCTATTCACCATTGCCTTCTGCAATGTCTGTATCTCCTATCCAGAATTACGTTCCAAAGACTTCATCGAGGATTCTAAAGTATGAAGTTTGTCCATTAGAGATAACTTCTCATCTTTGGATATAATTTTTATCGCATAAACCGTTCCTTCTTGTATTGACTTTCTTTCCGCCAGTCTGTCATAAGCTTTAGACAAAATTCAATTGTCACATTCAGCAGTTTTGATTCTCTCAGTTAATGTTTCAGTTCCTACAGAAAGGGACTACTGAAGCTTACGATTCAAATCAGCTGTTCCTTCTTCCATAGTATTGAATTTCTCCTTAACATCAGCCTGTACCTGTTCTAAATTTTTCTCAGTTAACCAAGTCATGTTAAACAAAGATCTGTTCTCTTCCTGGAGAACTTCAAACTGTTTCTTGAGAAGATTGTTGTCATTCTCAATAGTTTTTAAACGTTCAACTTCTGCCTTAAGAATCCTGAATTCGTCTCTTAAAGACTTTATCATATTTCTATTATCAAACCACATAGTACCAAGGAAAACTACGAATCCCAGAAAGATCCATAGATGTGGGGTGCTAGACACCTCTTGTAAAATCTCCTACATGGTACATTCAAGTCTGAATTGTAACGTTTTCAGACATTTTATTTATAAAAGAATTTTTTTTTTACCTGCAATGACCGGTTCCTGCCAGTGGTGGCGAAAGAGTCCACTTGAGTCCACGTGGAGAGCCGGTCTCAAACAACTCAAAACCTTAATTTAGGGCTGGAGAGATGGCTCAGCGGTTAAGAGCATTGCCTGCTATTCCAGAGGTCCTGAGTTCAAGTCCCAGCAACCACATGGTGGCTCACAACCATCTGTAATGAGGTCTGGTGCCCTCATCTGGCCTGAAGGCATACACACAGACAGAATGTTGTATACATAATAAATAAATAAATATTTAAAAAAAATTAAAAAAAAAACCTTAATTTATTGTTCTGCCTCAGGAGTTAGAGTGGTCACGGAAGGGGTCACTTTGAATCAGACCAAATCTGCCGCTGTGGCGGCGTTTGTTGCAAAACCGCAGGTACTTGAGCTTCCGGGGTTCCGCTCCAAACGCCAAGGCAGGCAGGGAGGGGTTAATTGCTCAGGTAGCAGGCAGGGTGGAATGGGCGTATCTCGGACTCAGTACTGGGGGGCCCGAGTGGCACCTGGGAGCATGCTGTGTTAGCTAGAGGGCTATGAGCTTGAAAGCACGCTTCCTGAGCTCTGGTAGCCTAATCTTGCTCGCAAAGGTGAGCTTGTCCCCCTCCCCCCCTCGTGCCGGGGCGGGGCAAGATTGCCCGACTTTGGACACTAAAATGTAAATGAATGCAAACAGATTGTAAAATATATAGGCAGCTTTAATGGTGGAAATTAGACTTACAGTACCACGGTTCTTGTGGAGAACAGGAAGCAGAAGGGGCGGCTACGCGCATGCCTGGCAGATTTATAGGTAAACATTCGCTTGAGGCGGACACGCCCCCTAAGGCTGGGCTTAACCCTACAGCCTCTTATAAGTAACATAATGGCTTTGAATCTGCGTCCTTTCTTGGAAAGGCATTGATACTGCTTCCTTCAGATAATGACACGAGATTTCAAAATGTAGGCATATAGAAACAAAGGAATTCAGAAGTAGAAAGGAGCCCAAGGGTTTCTGTCATTGTGCGGAGTGTGTCTGGATTGTATGAAGGAACTAATCATTATATTCTTTCATATAAATTTTCTGGCCGTTTTTTTTTAAATTAGGGTGTCATGTAGCCCAGGGTGGCTCACAATTACAGTACTTCTCAGTCTCTGGAGTGCTGGGGTTAAAGGCATGTACTACCACATCTGCACTCAAGTTTTAATATGTACTTAAAATTATTTGTACAAATGAAGGGGTGGGCTCAAAGGAGTTTTCACTTCCTAAGATTGGTTGGCTGGTAAGTATTTAAGGTTAACTTCCATATTGTTTTGAATAGATATTGTTTCCTGAGCCATATTCTAGGCTTAAAGAATGGTAACATTTTATTTTTTCAAATATTTATTATTTATGTATACAGTGTTTTGCCTGCATGTCTGCATGCCAGAGGAGGGCACCAAATCTCATTACAGGTGGTTATGAGTCACACTGTGGTTCCTGGGAATTGAACTTGGAACCTTTGGAAGAGCAGTCAGTGCTCTTAACCTATGAGCCATCTCCCCAGTCCCGAATGGTAACACTTAAAAAATATGTATTTTACTATTATCTTTTTTCCCCCTTTCAAGACAGGGTGTCTCTGTAGATTTGATGCCTGTAGATCAGACTGACCTGTCTCTGCCCGAGTGCTGGGATTAAAGGTGTGCATCACCACTGCATGGCCTACCATTGTCCTTTGTGTGTATTCATGTTAGTGCGTGTGCGATGATGTACTGTGGAGGCCATCCTCTCCTGCAGCCTTCATGTGGGTCATGAATGCTCGTGTAGCACCCCAGACTCTGGGCAGTGCATGGTCTTTGCCCCCCAACAGGGTTTCTCTGTGTATCCCTGGCTGTCCTGGAACTTCCTCTCTAGACCACACTGGCCTTGCACTCTGCCTCCGGAGTGCTGGGATTAAAGGCCTGAGCTATCACCGCCTGTCCTGGTTTTTGCTTCTCGTAATCCGAAGGACCTTTTAGGTAAAATGTATGTTTGGGCGTAGAGATAACTGAGTACACTGGCTGTTCCAAAACAAAGTAGTATGACAGAAAAACTCAGAGAAGCTGGGTGGTAGTTGCCAACGGCTTGGCTTTAATCCCAGCATTTGGGAGGCAGAGACAGGAGGATTCTCTGTGAGTTCAAGGCCAGCCTCGTCAACAGAGCAAGTTCCAGGACAGTTTCACGGAGAAACCCTGTCTCGAAAAACTAAGTAAAGGAAAAAGAGAGAAAGAAAGAAAAGAAAAACATTACATGCTAAATTAATATGTCTTAAAATTTCTGATAAATAATTTTCACTGGAGGTACAAAATTACAGGGACTTGGTTTTTGTTAATTTTAAGATAATGTTTAATGGTAAATATACCTAAATATATTTTGATTTATAATTTATTTCAACATTTTCAGATGCTTATTTACCTTCTGTTTATTGACCTGGTAAAAGAGCACATAATCCAACTGCATCTCAGAATGCAAGTCATCTCTACACTTCTGTTAAACTACTGTAGTAATTTATACAATTAACAAGATAAAAGTCAGATCAAGTGATGGCTTATTTGATTTAGTATAATTGAGAAAGCAACATTAAAAGACTCATATGAAGCAGATAATACACATTTAAAAATAAACATTTTGGTTTTTGTTTTTCTGATTAATACAGGCAACATGGTTCTTAATATCTTTATTTTTATCTATAAAAAATAAAATCTTTAACATTTGTAAGTTACTTTTTTCAATAAAGATACTACTACCATTTTAAATGGCAGGAAGTAACTGAATTATAGATTTAAAAATCAGTGGCACAAGTTACATACACGGTGACGTTAGTGACAAATACAGTGTTAGGTGCATACAGTATCCGCTGTGTCGAAGAGGTAGAGTTCTTAATCACAGTCTTACAGAAAAGACACAGTAGACTCAAGAGTAGTCTGTTTATCAGTTATGGTACCTATAGATTGCTTCCCTTCCACTTGAAAGTGGAAAAAGGCTTTTTTAGGTAATGATCTCACTTTGTATGTGCTGAGGAGTTTTGCTTACAATACTGGAGCATTTTCTTGGCCAGTTACTGATCATATATGGCATTTATGTTTTGAAAAGTCTCTGAATAGGGAAAAATAAATCTCTATTCTCCCAAGAAGGAAAATATACAGTATATCTCTGTACTATTGTGAGTATAAACTGTAAATGAAGTATTTCTCTGAGTACCTACCATATGTTTTGTGTGTGTGAGATAGTAGGGTAGTGGAAGATCATTATTGCTCAGTAAGAGTTATGGCAATATATAACACACACACAAATATAATAACATATATGTATATATATAATGAGTACAATACCCAGATTTGATTGTTCATGTTTTTGTAATTGACAATACATTTATCATAACACTAAAGATGTGTGTAATTTGTTTCATGATGAAGCTAAATTACTAGAACTTGAATAAGATTGTACTACAGACTAATAAGCTAGAAAGACAGCGTTTTTGTGTGTATTGGCTTTTATATTCACATTAACTGTTTATAATTTAGGATTGTTTTAATCCTTCAAAGTTATAAGTGACCATAGGTACTTAGGTACATAAATTTTATAGTAGGATGTGCATTTTATAAAATCTACCTGAACATTTATAATTGAAAACAGTAACTAGAAAATAAAAACTATGACAAACAAAATTTCTTCCAGTGAACTTCAAATTACCCTTCTCTGTTTTCTATTAGAAATGGGATAGCAAGGTGAGCCCATTTGATTCTAGATCTTATGGTTCTACTTAGGTGAACTTTCGTATTTGGTACTCTCAAGTTTATCTAATTTTTCCCTCATTCTGATGATTTTGAGAACTTAGGAGCTGTTTATTTACATAAGGTCAGATCTATTCAGCAGTGTGTCTCACACCTGCTGGTGACAATGTATTATCTAAACCAATAGCTATTGGCCAGATAACACCTTTAATCCCAGCACTTGAGAGGCAGAACTCCAGAGGTAGAGGCAGGTGGATCTCTGAATTTGAGGGCAGCCTGGTCTACAAAGTGAGTTAGAGGATAGCCAGGGCTACACAGAGAAACTCTGTCTGGAAAACAATAACAACCAAAAAAAACCCCAAAAAAACCAAACCAACAAACAACGAACAAAACCAATAGCTGTGTAGAAACCAATACAACAGTTTTGATGGGTAGTATAAAAATACATTCATTTTTATCTCAAATTTTATCTTAGCTAATGTCTTGACAGAATGTATCCTATTCATAAACATCAACTACCCTATTTATATCTTCACATAAGAAAACCTTTATAATGACATTTCAATGAGAAAGACATTGCCTAATTTTTGAGGAAAGAATGTCCTTCCAATTTAATTATCAAAATGTTAGTTCTTGGAAATGTAAGCTAAGTTTATAAAAACTAATACTTTTCTATAATGTTTCACATTGTATTTGGTTATAAAATTCTTAAAAATAGCCAGGCAGTAGTGGCACATGCCTTTAATCCCAGTACTCAGAAGGCGTAGGAAGGTGGATCTCAGTGTTTGAGGCTGACCTGGTCTACAGAGCTAGTTCCAGGACAAGGGCAACATAAACCCTGTCTTGAAAAAAAGAAAAGAAAAAATTTAAAAATATCATTTCAGTGGTATACATATAGTTATCTTTTTTGGAAAGATGTAATGGTTAGTCCATAATTATATAATCCTCAAATGATTTGCAAATTATTTTGTACCAGCCAATTTACAGAGAAAGTTCTGTGTAAAAGCAAATTGATGGTGTGTTTATGGATACTGTTCATTAATTTAATTTATACATATTTGGGAGAGATTTTTAAACCTAAAAAATGTTAATTGCTCCAATCAAATCTAAATTATATATGATATCCTGTTATATACATTTAAGTGTATAACTGGGTCAATAAAGTTATCTGGATATACAATGATTTTCCATAGTAAATTTTACATATCTTATACTTAATTTCTGAAAATGTTATGGGAATGACTACTAATGATCTTGACTGTAACAGTGTATTAGAATTTTCTACCTCTTTTTTTCCAATGTTAAGTAATCTATGTTGGAGTTTTAAGTTCTACTTTTCCTCTTATCTTCAAACAGACTTTTCAGCATATAAACCTGAATACCTGACACTACCACCATGACTGTCAGATTCACCACGGACCAGAAGTTGACTCTGTCAAAGTTGCTTTCTTGTATGTTTCGATCACGAGCTTCAAATGCTCTAAGCAGAGTTTGTATCTGACCACTTTTGCTCAGTCTGGACTTGATGCTGTTGATGGACTCCTGGAAAGAAATACAGTAATTTTTCTATTTAAAATACTAAGAACAAGTTTCTTTAATAATATGCTTTATGCTAGTTTTCAAAACCAAAACAATTTTTAAAATATATGAGAATATAATTCAGTTAAAGGACCGGTATTATTTGTGTCACCTGGAGATCCTCCATGAGGCTTTAAAATAGTAATAATATATTTAAATTTATTTAGCAAAGGAATAAAGATACCTTGAAGAGTCAAGATCAAAGTAATTGCGTTAGCGTAGCACCAGGACTTTTACACCTATCTCTCTTAACGTTCTGACAACCATAAAATATTTTTTCAGTTTTTAAAAGACCAGCTGATTATATTTTTAGTTATTTGGCAGTTTTTACCTAATGCACTGTGTGACTATAATACGCATTATACATCTGAGTGTTTGCTATGTCATCCAGGGAGGTCCAACACACATAACAATGGAAGAGTGTATAGAGTAATGTAAGGCGTAAGGCATGGAATGCCAGCAAACCTTGCAGTGAAAAAGGTCCCAGCCCTGTCAACACCTCTAAGACTTTAGATCTGTGAAATTCACTTCAGATTTTTGACCTCTGGAACTATGAGAAAATAAGTTTAAACTTTTTTTTTTTTTTAAATTGCACTGTTTCTGCAAAAAAAAGTATTTAAGATAAGATCCACTTGAGATAAGTGATTTGAAAAACTAATAAAAAGCTAAACGTAAGCTAAAATTGAGATTTGAAATGATGTAAAAATATGGCGAAACCAATAGTTTTTGGAAAATATGGTTAAGAATGCTCACTTTAATCCCTGCCATACAAAGATAACTGACCAATGAGCTGCCGTTACTTATTAATGTCCTACTAACCAGGATGTCCTCCAGCTTCATCTCCAGCACATCCGTGTCAGGGATATATCTTTTCCAGTCTTCTTGTTCCTGAGCTTCTTCTCCCATATTATCCAGGATCAGTTCAAAAAAAATTACCTTCTCAGAAATGGTGCTAAATGTATTATCAAAGCAGAACATGTAGTCACCAACTTCAGTCTCCACACTACATTAAAACAAGGGAACATTTTAGTATTCTGAACATCTATCTAACCATGACAATATATTCAAATACTTGAAAGTTACACATACTTAGAATTTACCTGGTCAATTACATTAAATTATTTTAATCTTGTTTTGTTTTGTTTTGTTATCAAGACAGGGCTTCTCTATGTAACAGTCCTGGCTGTCCTGGCATCCCCTTTGTAGACCAGGCTGGCCTCAAACTCACAGAAATTTGCCTGTCTCTACTTCCCGAGTGTTGGGATTAAAGTCGTGTACCACCAATGCCCGACCTGATCTAGTTTTTCTTTCTGGTGGGGGAAAGAATAGGATTCTATAATGAGTCTTACTCATATGCAAATATAGCAAACAACCTACTCTTCAATTGAGATTCGCCTTTAAACTGAGTTTTGTTTCCTTTTCAGAAGCAGTGATAGAACTGGAGAGATGGCTCAGTGGCAGAGAGCACTCTCTGAGAAGACTGCAGGTAGGGTCCCAGTATGCACACACCTGCCTTTTAACTATAGTTTCAAAGGATCTGACATCTTTTTCTGACTGACAGGTAACATACACACAAATACAAAGGTTTTCTTTCAGGTTTCTGACATAAAATACTGTTTACAAAGAAAAGAGATGAGGTCTGTAGCTCGTAACTGGAACTTTACTCTGTGAGATTACCTATACTGAATAAATACAATTCATATCTAAACTGAATTTAAGTCCTTTGTCTTGCTGGCTACCGTGGCTCTTGATACTTAATTGTTATAACGTGAAATCAACCTGTAATGACCATGTTTTGTTAGTCTCATTTTTTCTATTTCCAGTTTGTATTTGCATTGGGCATTGTAACTGGTTTTACACTACACATTAGTTGATACTCATTTCTCTTCAATAATTTAGCACTTCCTCTAATTGTATTACATTGGGAGTTCGTGTAATTGGTCATTTCTAGATGAAATGAAGTTCACATAGAATAAGATGAACATAGCCTATTATGGGCCAAGGTGAAGCTTGGTTGGCCTTCATTGCTTTGGTGCTGGGGACTAGATCAGTGCCTCACATATACTAAACAAGTGATCTGCCCCTAAGCCACACCCCCAGAGCTAAAGCCTGGTTTTATTTCCAAATTAATAGATTTTTCTAAGATATTACTCAGATTCTCCCTGTATTTTTTTTTACAAGCTCCCTTTTATGATTTGGATATGAAAATGTCCCAAAAGGTTTGTTCCCATAAAAATGTTTAGAGGTGACTGTATCGTGAGCATTGACTGAACTATTGGGAGGTGAGAAAGTAGATTGGGATTAGCAATAGTGTCTGCCCTTGAAGAGTATATCTTGAACCTGGGACCCTTTCTCTCTCTTTCTCTCTCTCTCTCTCTCTCTTCCATTTGCTATGAGGTGAGCTGCTTTGCTCCTCATCAAGTATGGCCCAGAACAAAATGGAGCATAGTAACTGGTGGTGTGAGTGAAAATGGCCCCCATAGGTTCATAGGGAGTGGCACTGTTGGAAGAAGTATGTTACTGAAGCTGGGCTTTGAGGTTTCCAATGCTGAAGCCAGGCCCAGTGTCTTTCTTCCTGCTGCCTGTCAGTTCTATCTGAACACAGAACTCCCAGCTACCTCTCCAGCACCACGTCTGCCTGTGCTCTCACGCTTGCTGCCGTGGTGTCTCTGCACAAATAACCATCAACTTACATCTCAAAATAAACCTTGTTTTTTTTAAGTTGTCACAGCCTGAGCAAACACTGGTGAACAGAGTGAAGAACAATTATAAACAGAAACAAATGTTATGGTACCCGTAAAACAAGTCGATGGCTCTTGTGAAGGACACATCATTCATTCAGAAGTGTCTAACCTGTGGCTCACAGGTTGTCTGTGTCGTCTGTCAGAGGATGGTTATAAATACAGCTCACAAAACACTGAACTTGCTAAAAACGTGAGCTTTCCTAAAAAATAATTTATTTTTTATAATTGATTATACAGTTTTTGAGTGTAAACCCTGGAGGTTGTATTGCAGAGTCAAAAGGTGGACATACCTGGATGATATGACTCCAAAAAAGGGCAAGAAATAATTTGATCCTCCGAAGTTCAATTTTACTTGAGTTTTTATTACTGTCATTAGGCTTGCCTAGTATCCCAAAAGCAGCAAGGATTCACAGGCAATACAGAAGTAGTAGGCAAGAATGAAGCTATGTCGGGGGGGAGGCATGCATTGAGACAGGGTTTCTCTGTGTAGCTATGGCTGTTCTGGAACTCACTCTGTAGACCAGGTCAGTCTCAAACTCAAAGACCTTTGTCTGCCTGTCTCCTGAATGCTGGGATTAAAGGCATTAACCATCATGCCCAACTTTATACATATTTGTGTTTATTCCTTTGTATTTTTCTGGATAATTAAATTTATTAATATCTGAACCAAGTAGGTAATATGTTTCCTATCTACAAAGCATTAACTTTCACTGAAATAATTTTTAAAAAACTTAATATAATTTTTAAATGATTTCACATGTTGAAAATAAAACTTGAATGATTTAAAAATTATATTTCATATAAACTATACATATCTAATTGACATAATATATATGTGTATATAAACAAGTTACTCAGAAAAAGTTATGAAGTTTATAGTATTATAAACCTTAATTCATTTCAAATGAATTGTAGTCTTAATTGAACTCTACTTAGCCATTTTAACAAATGCATTTAACAAAAAGAATAAATTATATTATTCTTTTCTACTGTGTATATACCCATTTTTTGGATTTATTCTATGTGTATTAGTGTTTGCCTTGGTGTGTATACGTGCACCATGTGTGTGTTTCTTGCCTATGGAGATTAGAAGCGGGTGCTTGATCCCTTGGAAATGGAGTTACGGTAGCTGAGAGCCACTTCTGGGTATCTGATATCAATTTCTGGCTTTTGCAGGTACCTGTTACACATGTGGAGCACATACATACATGCAAGTAAAACATTCATACACATAATTTCTTTTGTTTATTTGTTTTTGAGACAGGGTTTCTCTGTGTAGCTTTGGAACTTGTCTTGGAACTCGCTCTGTAGACCCTGCTGACCTCGAACTTAGAGAGATCTACCTGCCTCTGACTTCCGAGGGTTGGGTTTAAAGGTGTGAGCTACCACTGCAAGGTCCATACACACAAAATTTAAAAAAAAAAAACAAAAAACAAAAAACATCTGGGCAGTGATGGTTCATGCTTTTAATCTCAATCCTTGGGAGGCAGAGGTAGGTTGATCTCTGTGAGTCTGAGGTCAGCCTGGTCTACAAAGTGAGTTCCAGGACAGCTAGGGCTATACAGAGAAATCCTGTCTGGAAAAAAGGCCAGACATGGTGGTGTATGCCTTTAATTCCAGTATTCAGGAGACAGAGGCAAGCAAGCAGATCTGAGTACCGCCAGTCCAGACAGTTACACGATTGAACTCTGTCTCAAAAACAGTAACAACCAAAAAACAATGTTTTTAAGCCAAGAAGGCCGATTTAAAATGTTAGTAGATTAACCAAAGCAAAGGAAAAAGCTGGGTGTGGTACCGTTGCTGGTGGATGCCCATGATTGATCACAGCACTCACAAGGCTACGGTACAAGGATTATTCTAAGTTCCAAGCCAGCCAGGGATACATGTAAATATATTGTGTCTCAAACAAACAATCAACTTACGTGTGCACACCATCTGATTTTCTTTGCTCAAAAACTAAGGTTCTGCCCTCTGGGGAGGTAAGATGGAAATCAATATCTAATCCTGCTCCATCTAAAACCTACAGAAGAGAAAAAAAAAACACGTATTACAAACCCCGAAAATAGAAACTTCTATGAGTAAATCATGTGATATAAAGACTTTTAAAATATTTTACCTATTTATTTACTTATTTATTGGACACAGTGTTGTTGTAAGGAGGCTGCTTGTTGATTTCCCAGCTGCTCAGCCCCAAAATAATCACACAGAAACTTCATTATTTAAAACATTGCTTGGCCCATTAGCTCTAGCTTCTTATTTGCTAACTTTTACATCTTAATTTAACCCATCTCCATGAATCCATGTATCACCATGTGGCTGTGGCTAACCAGGTAAAATTCCATTCAGCTCCAGAGGGCTCCATGGCTTCTCTCTGACTCCGCCTTCTTTCTCCCAGCATTCAGCCTAGCTTTCCCCGCCTACCTCAGATCCTTTATTGACCACTGGTATTCACAGCATACAGAGGGGAATCCCACATCACAGTGTCTCTTTATGCGGCCCTGGCTGTCTTGGAACTCACTGCGTGTCTCTCAGAGTTCTGGGATTAAAGCCATGTGCCACCATGTTTTTTAAAAGCTGTGCAAGTGGAGGCCAGAGGTTGACGTCCTCCGCTGTGTTCCAACTTTTTGAGAAAGATCTCCTCACAGGCTGGCCTTAAGCTTGTCATTCCTCGCTTTCAGCTTCTTTAGTGTTTAGAATTACCAGCATTTGGCACCATTCCTGGCTTTCAAGGAAATCTTTGATTAATAAAAATTATTTTCCCATCCAGACTCACTAACTCCATAGTTGGTTTCTCTGTGTCTAATTTTGCTTCCTTTAAATCTGCTTTTCACACTCCAACGATCTGCTTAAATTTTATGTGTCTGCGGCGTAGTGGTGGCAGGTTGTGGGATATTTATCTTTTTGTTTGTTTTTTTGAGACAGGTTTTCTCTGTAGCTTTGGAGCCTGTCCTGGAACTGGCTCTTGTAGACCAGGCTGGCCTCAAACTCACAGGGATCTGCCTGTCTTTGCCTCCCAAGTGCTGGGATTAAAGACGTGCGCCACCACTGCCTGGCTGATTCTCTTTATTTGTTTCTCCTCCCTACACAATTTCTTACACGCATTAACTGTTCAGTAAGTGCTGAATTTTTGCTCACATGCTAATTTTTGCTTAGGTTTTAGATACTATGATTTCAGATACTTAATGTAAGCTATAAATCGTCCTAAAGTTTCCTCATATAAAACTGGACATTAAGTTTTTAAAAAAAGATTTAATAATAAACGTATTTGTCCACGACAGTGTACATTTGTGCACCACGTGCAAGCAGTAACTTCTGGGCTTTCATTCCATTCCACTACATGCATTTTATTCTGCTCTAATTAATAGGATTTGGAACTTAATTTTTAAAAAAGCCTCAAAGATAAAACACATCAACATATATTTTGGTGCAAGGCTATTTGGAAGCACAGAAATTTGCCAGGTGGAAACTTATAGACTTTTTAATTAAGACACTTCTATTGCCGTATTCTGCTGATATTAAAAAGAAAACAAAGACAAGGGACGAATCCTGATGTTACAATGTTTTTATACACTATTATCTTATTTGAAAGTAATGGATATGCAGCTGGGACGGAAATGTACCACTAAATACGGCAACAGCTTCCTTGAACACATTTCAAAATTTGACATGTGTCACACTCCAAATTCCTTAACTGAAGCAAACACCGTGATGAATCTGGTGCAAGTGGTGAGGGTAACGCAAACAGTGGCATCATTTCGTTCAATAATTAAAAAATAAAAAAGAACGTGTACCATCCCAGTACTGTGAAACTCTTAGAACTAGTGTATACTCGCTAGGAAAGCTATGGGTGAATTAAGAAATAAAGACTAACGCCACCGACGTCACCAGTGCTGGCCTCTTTCCGACCAGAGGAAAGGGAAGCGAGGGTAAGTGTCAATTTTATGTCTGGCTAAATTTGTGAGTTCCAGACACCAAAGAGCCTCGCCTGTGCGCCTGCGCTGAGCAGGCCAGCTTCCCGGACGACCCTCTGGATGCACCTCGCCCGCATTCCGCAAGTTTCCCAAGCCGGTAAGCGGCGAAGGCCAGCTCGCCCCCGCGCTTACCTGGTATTCGATCTCCAGCGAGGCCTTTAGGGGCATGGGCTGGTAGAAGCACTCCTTCTGGCCTGCCGGGAGCGTGAAGGTGAAGTCGCTGTCCAAGGAGGGCTTGAAGCCGGCAGCCCCCCGCAGCAGCGCTGGGGGCAGAGCGGCCAGGAAGAGCACTGGGAACGGCAGCCAGGTCCTGCCGCCCATCCCGGTGGGAGCGATCTCCAGGAAGTGTTTAGCGAGGTGTGAGATGCCGGTGCCTCCGCTCCGAACTCCCAAGCTCCAGGGAACTTGGGGCGACCGCGGCTCACGCCGTCTTCGAAAGGGAAGCGCTGCCTTCCGCTGGGCTGGGTGAGGGCGGGGCTACTCCTCCCTTCCTGCACATCACCCCCCCCCCCCACCGCCCGGTTTCGGATCCGTGCTTTATACTGGACTTGTAGGTTTAGGCTTCCCTCACACAGACACACAGACAGAAAGACATAGACACACAGACACACACAGATATAGACACAGACACACACTCACAGACATAGACACACACAGATCAATGAGTATCGGCGGCGGTAATGATGGGAATTGTAGTCCAATATGAACTCTGCGTGCAGCCCCTCCGCCCCCTGGTTTCGGATTCGTGCTTCATACTGGATTTGTAGGTTTTGGCTTCCCTCCCACAGACACACACAGATATAGACACAGACACACACACACAGATCAATGAGTATCGGCAGCGATAATGATGAGAATTGTAATTAAATACGAACTCGGCGTGCAGCCCCTCCGCCCCTTGGTTTCGGATCCATACTTTATACTGGATTTGTAGGTTTTGGCTTCCCTCACACAGTCACACAGACACACACCAATGAGCATCGGCGGCGGTAATGATGGGAATTGTAGTCCAACATGAACTAGGCGTGCAGAACCCATCCGCACGTCCGGCCTCATTTCCCGGCACGCACTGCGCTCCGGCGACGCGGCAGCGGAGCCTGTGTCGGAGCGGGGCTCGTGGCCCGGGAGGTGCGTCCCAACGGCTCCCGCGGCGGTTCGAACTCGGCGCCTCCGAGGTTCGCTGGTTCTCTAGGTCGTGTGTTGGAGGCTTCCACGTCGCGGCCTGCGCTGTCCTAGGCTTCGAGCGCAGAGGAGCCGCGCTGCGCCTTGGCCTGGGGTCGCTAAGTACAGCTGCGACCTTGTGGTGAGCAGACCCCCCCCCCCCCCCCCCCCCTGACTGGAAGCGGGCTTTCCTGACGTCCCGGCGCTCAGTGCGCTCCCGGGCGGTGTGTTGGGTTTGAGGATGCCAAATGCTCTGCTCCCTCCAGGCAGATGGAGCCCCTCTTCAGTAGATTGAGCGTCCTCGAGATAAAATACTGTATAAAACCATGGACTCTTTCCCAAGCGGGAAAGCCTGTCTCATCCAGGGAGTATAGAGTGCTGGTTCTTCCCTTACTGAGAGTACAGCTAGAACGCTTTTTCCCCCCAAGTAGGCTTGAAGATACCGTTGTCAGGGCCCCTAGGTAAGATGATGAGCCTTTCCGCGTACATACGACTGGTAAAAGTCCTCAGGAACATGACGATGTTTGAATACTAGACGTATTCACTGATGCTTCAGAACGGTTAGAAAATTCTTACATGAGAATGCAGAAGTTGTTGAACATAAAAACTTGACTTTAGGTGGTGTTATACAGTGTTGAGCGGCATTTTTCGATCTAATTCTTCTCCTTTTTTCTCCGTCATTGTCCGATATGAAGCTCGAGATGTTGTTGAACAGATGTGATTGAAGCAGAATGGGGATCCGATTCACTATCTGACTGGGGAAGTCTTCGAACTTAAGCAGAAGCAGATTTGTGAAAACAATATCGGAAAGACAGTAGAAACATTTTATTTTCTAAACATCTTATTTAATTTCAATACTCAGCTTTTTCCAATAAGGTGAGAGGTTTTAATAACCCACCCCACTCTTGCAAAATTTTGAGTAGAAAATAAATGTACCAAACTATTTTACCAGAATAGAGACGGAGAAGGTAGCTTATTCATTTATCCATTCAAAATATTGAGCTTTCCTAAATACATTTTTTTACTTTATAGCCTTGAACATGGGGATTATATTGGTAGCCTAGCTTTTAAGAAGGGCGATAAAAGAGGCTCCACAATGAAAAAGAGTGAATGAAGTGTGAACAAGAGGTGAAATTGTAAGAAGAGCTATAGCAGGAGTAGAAATTCTAAAGCTTTGAGTGTTAGTTTAATAATTAAAGTAGCAAAATATCCATTGCTATGATCTTAAAGATATTAATTTTGCTTTATGTGTGTGTTTGGGTTCCTCTGAAACTGGAGTTACAGACTAGTGTGAGTCACCATGTGGGTGCTGAGAATAGCAATAGCAAGCCTTTGAAAGAGCATTCGGGACCCTTGAATTCTGAGCCATCTGGCCAGCTGCATCATGATTCTTTCCTTTTAGTTAATCCTAGCCCTGCTTGCCCACAGCTGATGCACCCGAACGTTCCCCCATGTAGTTTCTGAGTTGAATTACTAAATTTCTTTTTGTTTTGTGTCTTTTTTTGAGAGAATGTCTTAATATGTAGACCAGGCTGGCCTTGAGCTCACCTGCCTCTACTTCCCAAGAGCCAGGATCAAAGGAGTGGTAACCGGCCGGGCGGTGGTGGCGCACGCCTTTAATCCCAGCACTTGGGAGGCAGAGGCAGGCGGATCTCTGTGAGTTCGATACCAGCCTGGTCTACAAGAGCTAGTTCCAGGACAGACTCCAAAACCACAGAGAAACCCTGTCTCGAAAAAAACCAAAAAAAAAAAAAAAAAAAAAAGGAGTGGTAACCGTATTCAGCCTCTCGATGTCATTTTGATCTGTGATTATGACTTGTGAATGTGAGTATATTTAAATTTTACAACCACTGTGAACAGATGATAACTTATCTGGTAATACCACCTTTTAAGAAAATATGGAAGATTGTAGTGGTAACATCTTATCGGATGCCCCAGATTTGTAAAATGATTAAATTCTAACACCTCATATTGAAATTAATTATTTCAATGGCTTTGTTTTCTTGTTAGGAAATGGAATCTAGTTCATCCGACTACTACAATAAAGACAATGACAATGAGGAAGAAGGTTTGCTTGCAAATGTTGCTTCATTGAGACATGAACTGAAAATAACAGAATGGAGTTTGCAGAATTTAGGAGAAGAGTTGTCCAGGCAAGGAAATAAAGTCACATGTATAAATTAAAGTGTTAATTTATAAACATAAAATGACTAGATTTTATTATATGTCATCTTTATTATGCCTCTTGACTAAGATATATTTTTCTGTACTTTTTAATATAATTCAGTTTGTGAAAATGGAAATATTAACAAGCATTTACATATTAAGAAAACATGTTGCTGGGCAAGCATCTTTAATCTCAGCACTTGGAAGGCAGAAGCAGACGCTCTGAGTTCAAGGCCAGCCTGGTCTACAGAGTCCAGGACTGCCAGAGATACACAGAGAAACCCTGCCTTGAGAAATAAACAAAACGAAGCAAAACCCAAACATCTTTAACATATCAGGAATCAGCATGAACTATATATTCATAATTTTTATTAATCGTTCATTATTGTAGCTGCTTTTTTTCCACTCCTGAAGTAAAAGAGATTCAGGAAATAGATTGCCAAGTGTTTATGTGCTTATTTGGGACTGGGCAGTCAGGACAAAAGAAAATCTCTACCTCTGTTTACAGTTATGCTCATGGCTGTGGATCTAATTTCTGCTTAGTATATGTAGAAATTTGTGGTGAAAACTATTGTCAGACTGAAGTATAATTTTTCTTTGTTCTGTAGTGTTAGTCCGAGTGAAAATTCTGATTATGTCTGCAATCCTTCAAGATCTGAAAGGCTTATTTTGGAAGAGCTTACTCAACCTAGCCGCCTGGGACTTTTAAAGTATCCACCTTATAAGAAAGTTTGTAAAACGACTGGTAGTACTGATTATCAAAAGAAAACAAGAGATAAGGTTATTATTTTTATACCTATTTAAAATGGTTTTTCTTTGCATGTTATCCGTAGTCTCTGACTACAGTGTTTGAGATGGGAATATAATTGCTCTTTTTCAGTACTATCAGATGTGCATGAGTGTTTGCCTGCAATTATGTCGTGGAGGTAAAGTGGGTATTGGATCTCTTGCAACCAGGCTATAGATAGTAACTTCGCATTGTGAGCTTCTATGTGCATGCTAGGAATTGAATCAGGGTCCTTCAGAAGAGCAACCAGTGTTTTCATTGTTGAACCATCTCCCCAGCTCCATAATTGTACCTTTTACATCCTAATCTTTCATGCAGTGAAAACTCTGCAGTTAGGAGGAAAACTGAGTTTTCCAATATATTTGTTATGGAGAAATTGCTAGTTTATATTATTTAAATAAAAAAATATGAAGTATGAGAGATTTTGTATAAATAGAAAAGGCAATTGAGTAATTATTTATATATGTTTGGAACCACTAGAAAGCTAAACTATAAAGTTAAAGTAAGATGTCAGGCAGGTCATGGCTCATGTCTATAATGCTAGCACTTCACAGACTGAGGTAGGAGAATTGCTTTGAGTAAATAAATTGGGCATGATGACTTTGTCCAATAACCCTGGTACTCAAGAGTTAGAGGCAGAGCCAGGCAGTGGTTGCACACGCCTTTAATTCCAGCACTGGCAAAGCTGAGGAGGGCGGATCTATGGGAGTTCAAGGACAGTCTAGTCTACAGTGCAAGTTCCTGGACAGCTAGGACTGTTACAGAAAGAAACCCTGTCTTGAAAAACATAGAACAGTAAAAAACAAAACAAAGAGAGGCAGGAGGATTAGAAGTTTATAGTCATTCTTGCATATATAAGGAATTTGAGGTCAACCTGGGTTAGAGAACTTGTCTCAAAAAAAAGTTAATCTGAAAAACAGTTACTAAGGATGGCAGGATGTATTTCTATATGCTTTTTCTTTTATGTAGCTTGACTTTATAGTCTATACATATATGTTCCTCAAAATTTTGAAAATAACATTGAAAATGTATTATAAGATATATTTAACAGCATAGTAAAATACATGCATAAGTTAAAGAATATTTTGTCTCATCTTGGTTGGCATATGTATTCCTCCATATTCTCTTTTGTATGCAGGGTAGCTGTGAATATCTTTAGGTGCAGAAATACAAAGATTTCTGTCATATTTATACTCAGGAGTGATATTGTTGATTCTTTTGCCAGTGTATACTTAATTTGTACTACTACAAGTGGAAAGGAATGTTGTCTCTCTTTTGTTTTTATCAATATTCACTAATGTTCATTGCGCTGAGTTCAATAATTTTAATGGTAATTGTTGCCGTTTTCTATTAATTATATATAAACATCAAAG